CACCTCTTAGGTTCAAGCAATTCTTCTGCCTCAGCCTCCCGAGTAGCTGGGATTACAGGCACCCACCACCATGCCCAGCTAATTTTTGTGTTTTTAGTAGAGACAAGGTTTTACCATGTTGGCCAGGCTGGTCTGGAACTCCTGACCTCAGGTGATCCACTCGCCTCAGCCTCCCAAAGTGCTGGGATTACAGGCGTGAGCCACCGTGCCCGGCCTTATAAATTATTTTCATACCATATAGAAAGCATAATGATAAGAGTATGCATACTCTACTGTGTTGTTTGTTATGGAAATACAGAAGAAAAGCAATTAACTCAATCTGAGTAGAGTTAAGGGTGTGGGGCCTATCAACAAAGGTTTCGTAAGGGCGGTGATAGCTGAGCAGTCTTTAAAATGAGTAGAAGTTAGCAAGGCAGAAAAAAGATTATATTCCCAGCAGAAGTGACATCAGAGGCTTGTAACTGATCATCTTGGGTTTGTGCATGGAACTGCAAACCAATTAGTATTCCTAGAGCATGAAGAAAAGGTAGGGTAGCTGAGATTGGGAGGATTGAGCAAGGGCCAGATCATGGTGGGCCTTGTATGTACCACATTAAGGCTCTTGGACTTTATTTTAGGGTAGTGAAAAGCAGTTGAGGATGATTAAGCAGGATAGTGATATTGTCATGTGTTTGTGTGTGTAGATTTCCCTAGCAGCCTTGGGGGAAAGTGATTTGAAGGAGACAGCTGACTGCAGGCAGACCAAGTAGGAGATTGGAAGTATCCAACAGAGATAAAACTAATGCATGAAATAGGGAAGTGGTGGTGGGTCAGAGCCAGGGACAAATTCCAGAAATATTTAGGAGCAAAATGGTCAGAATTTAGGGATTAATTAGATGGGAAGATGAGAGAGAGAAACATCTGACAAGTCCCTAGTTTCTAGTCTGCATGAGTAGGTAGCTAATGTGACACAAAGATAAAAAATACAGAAACAGGAGCAAATTTGTCCACTCTTCCCTAGCCCACCACCCAACATCCACCTACTTCCTCTGTCTCAGCAGACAACCCTGCCTCCTCTTTCATCAGGAAAATTGAGGACATCATAATTATCTCTCTTAACTAGCTGCTGTAACGTGTACCTACTCTCTATCTGGTCCCTCACGCATCCTTATCTCTTTCCAAGCTCTCAAACATTGAGTGATCTTTCCTGGCTCAAGTAAAGCCCACCACCTGTGCATCCCATCTGCTTCTAGGACCTTGTTCCATGCATTACTTTCTTGCTCTCCTTTATTCTCCACCTCTTCATCCATTATTGCTTTATCACCTTCTCTTCAAAACTTTCAGAATCCTTGTCTATACTCATTGTAATCACTTCCTTACTTCTCAACCCATTGCAGTTTGACTAACAGACTTCCCAACACACATATATACATATATACAAACCAAGTATCTGAGTCTAATGAAATTTTTTTGGCCCTTAAAATTTCATCTTTTAGATCTGTGGTTCCTTGACGGAGGCACTGTGGGATATCACAAACTATTTTAAATATTTACGGGAAACACTGATACTTGACATCTGTCATGCCCCGTGCAAACTGCAAGTTCAAAGTAGTACAGTTTCAACATTAGATCACCCTGCATTTATTTCAACAATGTCAGGACTTTGGGAAGCTGGGTTTTCCATGGTTGCTGTGATAAAATGCATGCACTGCACAAAAATCAGTGTGGAACAGGAAATGACACTGACAGTGACCACGAATTCCAAGGTTTGAGAACTTGTATGGTGCTCAGCAGGTGCACACATGCTATTAAATACTTGTGATTAGTTAAGAATGAAATAGGAATATGACTTTTTCTTTTAGTGTCTGTGTATTATTTTTTAGGTCACTTTTAAGCTGCTAGGACATAGATACTAGGTTGTTTAGACCTAATGACTTTAAAAATTGAACTGTTAAGTATTTCTTTTAGCTTGGGAGACACTGAAAAATTTACAGGAACACTAAAGGTGCTGAGAACCTCTGACCTACACCTTAGCTTCCCAGTATTGACCCCTTGGCTTTCACCATTACCAAAACATAGGGAGCTGTGGACATCCAAGACCAAGATAGTATAAATGTGCCCTTGAACAAATCATACTTCATTTTGTTAATTTGTGTGGATCAATAAAATTAGAAAGATACTCCTTTCACATGAAAGTTACATTTGAGAATAACTTCATATATTTTATTTTAATACATTGACTAAAACCTTTTTTTTTTTCTTCTTGAGACAATGTCTCATTGTCACCCAGGCTGAAGTGCAGTGCGTGATCTCAGCTCACTGCAGCCTCAACTTCCTGGACTCAAGTGATCCTCCTGCTTCAGCCTCCTGAGTAGCTGGGACTACAGGCATGCACCACCATGCCCAGTTAATTTTTGTATTTTTTGTAGAGATGGGTTTTCACCATATTGTGTAGGCTGGTCTCGAACTCTGGACTCAAGCGATCCACCTACTTCAGCCGACTAAAGTGCTGGGATTACAGGCATGAGCCACCACACCCAGCTGTATGGCACTCTAAAATTGTTTGGGCACATGATATATATGGGCTTAATGTCAACCAAATTTGAGTCCAACCTGTACCATTTCCTATCTAGTGTCAGCTAGCTTTATGCAAGTCATAGAACCTTTCTCACGATTTTCTTTTTTTTCTTCATAAAATTGGCCTAACATGGGGAAGGAGGACTGGAAGACTTTCTCATGCTCTAAGAATTATACCTGCTTATATTTCTAAAAGAGAAATATTAAGTATTCAAATGCTATCAATAAATATTTTAAGCATACCATAATTATCATCATCATTGCTAGTTTTTCTAGCCCCTCAGATTCTGCATATTATCTTAAATCACTAAATGATCACTGAATCATTAGTCATTGCCAGTGCTAGATACTGTCCAAGGCAAATATAGTCCTCAAAACATAGTCCTGGTCCCTGTATGTTATATAATTTTAGAATAATGTCATATAAATCATATAGTACATGTATACATAGTAAAATATATATTTAGGTTTTGTGTTTTAACTAATATCTGTTTACTCTAGTGTTTGTTAACCATGGTGTTATGGAAAAACTTAAGCTCTGAAGTGAGACAGAGCTTGGTTGAGAACTCAGCATTGCCATTACAGGCTGTGCAGCTAAAGTGCAATTTCACAAATGCCAATGAGAGAATAATGAACTCCTCAGAGTTGTTGTGGGGGTTGATGATGACCCATGCAAAGTGCTTATGTATTATGTATATAAAAGGCGTTGAACAAATGTTAGTTTTTATCCCCAGCAGTAAGAAGCAATGAAAGCAGGATTTGGGCATATTTGTGCTGAAAATTAAAAGATTCTATCAGGATATAAAGAAATGGTTTAAGCAGGTTGTAAAGAATCCAGGATAAGAGTGACTGATTTTAAGATGAATTAAATGGTATTTGTTACATTTAATTCATACTAGTGGAAATATTTCAATGGTACTGGTTGTTCTAGGCAGCACTTAATATGAAAAAAAATGAATTATGATACATGTCTATTCCTTTAATGATAACTTTTTTAAAATACAGTTTAAACAAGAGAGTAGGCTGGGCGCGGTGGCTCATACCTGTAATCCCAGCACTTTGGAAGGCCAAGGCAGGTGAATCATTTAAGGTCAGGAATTCAAGACCAGCCTGGCCAACATGGCGAAACCCTGTCTCTACTAAAAATATAAAAATTAGCTGGGCGTGGTGGCATGCACCTGCAGTCCCAGCTACTCAGGAGCTGAGGTACGAGAATTGAACCCAGGAGGTGGAGGCTGCTGTGAGCTGAGATCATGCCACTGCATTCCAGCCTGGGCAACAGAGTGAGACTCTGTCTCAAAAAAAAAAAAAAGTAATACAACAAATTCCCGTTTACTCACCACACAAAACTAACAAATTTCATCTCTCCATCATATTTGCTTCAGATATTTAACTTTCCTATTAAAAGAATTAAATACTTCCAAAAAGGGTAAAGCTCCCTTTATACTGTTTTCTAGTCCCTTTCCTCTTCCTTCCTCCTCAGATAGAATCGCTATTATGAATTTGATGTGGATCCTCTCATTCAAATTTTTATATTAATACTGATCCTAAATATATATGCATAAATAATTTTTATGACTACTTTCAAGTTTATGTATAATTATATTTTGTGAGTGTCCTAATCCTTGCTTTTTTTAACCTTATATTTTTGAGATATAACATTCATGGAATGTTTATAATGCCATTCTTCATTTTTCAATTTGTCAACACTTTCTCATCCATTGATTCAGATGAAGAGTGTAATAGCAGCTCACACTATAAAAGGGTTGAGAACTACTGACTTTAAATACCTTTCTGGTTTGAACTACACCATTATTTTAAGAGTTCCATACTATTCTATTGTATTTCTTTGCTTAAGAGTTTAAATTCTAGCCAACATTTATTTTCAGTGTGGTTAAAACAACAACAGAAAAAAAGGTCAGGCATGGTGGCTCATGCCTGTAATCCCAATACTTTGGGAGACTGAGGTAGATGGATTGCTTCAGCCAAGGAGTTCAAGACCAGCATGGGCAACATGGTGAAACCCCATCTCTACAAAAAATTAGCTGCGTGTAGTGGTGCACACCTGTAGTCTCAGCTAGTTGGGAGGCTGAGGTGGGAGGATCACCTGAGCCAGGGAAGTTGAGGCTGCAGTGAGCGAAGATTGCACTACTGCACTCCAGCCTGAGCCACAAGAGTTGAGACACTGCCTCAAAAAAAAAAAAAAAAAATCACATTTTGTATTATATGCAAATTGATCTGTCTACAACCAAAGCTTACCATTAATCTACAGCTATGCCCCATCATTCAAACTTGTTCAAAAGAAATTGTATTATAGAAATTGTACTTCTAGAAAGAATATGGATTAAATCTCATTGTAGATTTTGTATAAAATGATGAACTTCTGATACCAAATACCTTTGTTCAGGCTTTGTCTCTTGTTTTTCTTGTGTTGTTTTTAACAGCTTCATCACTGGTCCAGCTGTAATACCAGGGTACTTCTCTGTTGATGTGAATAATGTGGTACTTATTTTAAATGGAAGAGAAAAAGCAAAGATCTTTTATGCCACCCAGTGGTTACTTTATGCACAAAATTTAGTGCAAATTCAAAAACTCCAGCATCTTGCTGTTGTTTTGCTCGGAAATGAACATTGTAATAATGAGTGGATAAACCCGTTCCTCAAAAGAAATGGAGGCTTCGTGGAGCTGCTTTTCATAATATATGACAGCCCCTGGATTAATGACGTGGATGTTTTTCAGTGGCCTTTAGGAGTAGCAACGTAAGTAAAAATATGATGAAACATTCTTAGACCCTAACACCTGAATTTCTGAACCGGGAAGACTTATTCAAAATTGTAATAAATTTAGTTCTTCTGGGATTATTGAGGCCAGGTACAGTCTTTCTCAGCGATAAAAATAGGGTGTGGTTGCATCCTTCAATAACAATTATGATATTTTTAAGAGTATTTTATTCTTTAATGAGGAGATGAGTTACTTTTTTTCTTTTAAAACCCCAAGGCATAGAATGGATTTTTCAAGCTTATTAGGAGTGCCATAAAAAGTTATTTAGCAGAGAAATGGCAGATAGACTTTTAAAAAAAAACAATGGTAGTATCTATTTATAGTAAAAAAGAAAAAAAGGCAATATTATTATTATATCAGGAATATACTGTACCATTGTGTTTGAGACTGACTGAATTTATACAAATCCCTTCTATAAAAGGAGGGATTAATTAAATGATAGCTAAGGTTTCTCAAGATACAGTCTTTTATGTCAGGCGCAATGGCTCACTGCCTGTAATCCCAGCACTTTGGGAGGCCAGGGTGTCCAGATTGCTTGAGTCCAGGAGTTCAAGAACATCCTGGGCAGCATGGCAAAACCCTATCTCTACAAAAAAAAAAAAATATCAAAAAGTATCCAGGCATGGCGGCATGGCCTCCTGTATGGCACCTGTAGTCCTAGTTACTCATGAGGTTGAGGTGGGAGAATCACTTAAGTCCAGGAGATTGAGCTGAGATGAGATTGCACCACTGCACTCCAGCCTGGGCAACAGAGTGAAATGAGACTGACTCTCAAAAATAAGAAAAAACAAAAAGATACAGTCTTTCTCCAACTATAAAATGAAAAACATATTTTTATCTTTCTGTTAATAGGATATTTTTAATTAAAGCAAGTTGACTTTAAGGTAAGTTGCCACTAGTATATAAACTTCCTGAGAGCACAGATTTTTCTCTCTTTTGTTCACTGCTGTATCCACAGAGCCTAAAACAGCACCTGCACAGAGTAGACATTCTGTATTTGTTGAGTGGATGAATTATGAAAAATCTCATGACATGATTTTTGAATCATACATTCATTATTCATTATTCTGTCACTAGTTGCTGGATGTGGCCTTAGACTGCTGCCTAGTTAGCGACACAGAAGTCACTGGCACATCTGTGCCGGTAATGAGATGTATTCTCAGGCCTACTCCTATAATATCCGGACTCAGTAGGTTTGGGGTAGGGCCAGACAAAAAGGTTTTTGTTAAGTAAAGCCAGGGTTAAGACCCTCTTAAAAATCTATTTTTTGAGCAGAGCCTGTATTTGTAAAATGTTTTCATATAGTATAAGATGGAACCTCTTGGTAATCATGGTATTGTTTCACTAGGCCAGTATATTTCTTATATAGGTCAGTGGTTCTCAACCAGGGGCAATTTTGCTGACCAGGAGGCATTTGGCAGTGTCTGGAGACTTTTTTTTTTTTTTTTGAGACGACGTCTTGCTCTGTCACCCCAGCTGAAGTTCAGTGGTACAATCTCGGCTCACTGCCACCTCTGCCTCCCGGGTTCAACCGATTCTCCTGCGTCAGCCTCCCAAGTAGCTGGGATTACAGGTGGGCACCACCACTCCTGGCTAATTTTGTATTTTCTGTAGAGAGGGGGTTTCACCATGTTGGCCAGGCTGGTCTCAAATTCCTGACCTCAAGTGATCTGCCTGCCTCAGCCTCCCAAAGTGCTGGGATTTCAGGCATGAGCCACTGTGCCTGGCCTGGAGACATTTTTGATTGTCACAACTGGAGAAAAGAGGTTGTCACAACTGGTATCTAGCAGATAGAGCCCAGGGATGCAGCTGAGCACCCCACAATGTATAGGACAGCCTCCACAAGAAAAAACTAACCCAAAATGTCAGTAATGCTGAGGTTAAGAAACCCTGTTAACTGTTGGGTAAAATTTTGTTCTTGTGTGAAGGTTGTATTTCAGGTACACATTTTTAATCCCTGGTATTTCCAAATGCTTATAAAAATAGGTATCTTTTCCTGTATGGCATACCATGTTTTTTTATCTGTCAGTTTGTTTTAATCTACTTGAAAAGCCCTTGGGATTAATTTATCAGAGCCCTTTGCAATAGCAAAATATAAAATCTTTCCTTTTTTTTAAATTGACAAATAGTAATTGTATATGTTAATGGGGTACAAATGATGTTTTGAAATATGTTTACAATGTAGAATGCTTAAATCAGACTAACAAATCCATCACCTTATATACTTAACAATTGTTGCGGTAAAAACATAAAATCTGCTGTTTTAGCAATTTTGAAATATACAGTGCATTATTATTTATTATAGTCACCCTATTCTGTGTGATAGATCACTAAAGCTTATTCCTACTGTCCAACTGAAACTTCGTACCCTTTGATCAACATCTTCCTTTTCCCCATCCATCTGCCTCCCCTGGAGCATTCTGTAATCTTTTCATCACCTGGCTAAAATGTTGCTTAAATCACAATCATTATGAATACAGAAGAGTCTTTATAATTTGAAGGTTTTGAATGTAACATGCCTAACAGCTGCAGATGAGTAATGCAAGTTAAAGAATGTCAAAAACAAAGAACTTTAGGCACAAAATCTCTGTGACAATTTTATAAGAGATGTCAATGTGAAATTCATTTTTTTAACTTACTAGATTCAGGGAGTTTTCCAAAGTATGCATGGAAAATTACAATTTGAGATTTAGAAATCACATTTTAAACCTCTCTTATGTACTTCTTCCTACCTAAGAGGTTGGGTTAGGGGGATATTTTGCCAATTCTATATCATATATTAATTCATGTGTATTTATTTTTAGAGATATAAGGAATTTTCCTATGGTGGAGATACATTAATTCATGTGTATTTATTTTTATAGATACAGGAATTTTCCTGTGGTGGAGGCAAGTTGGTCAATGCTGCATGATGAGAGGCCATATTTATGTAATTTCTTAGGAACAATTTATGAAAATTCATCCAGACAGGCACTAATGAACATTTTGAAAAAAGATGGGAACGATAAGCTTTGTTGGGTTTCAGCAAGAGAACAGTAAGTTCTATGCTTATTTAATTCATTCATTTTGTTGTCCAGTCTGAGAGTTGCTTTATGTAGAAACACAGGTTTCCAAAGAGGCATGGGTAACTCTGTTTGTACCAGTCTTTCCCCAGAGGATACATTAGTAATTAAAACTATGAAGAGACTGGGTTGTACACATTTAAAATATGGAGAACTTCCTATGACTAGTCCATCTTGAAGAGGAACACTGGCAACTGTCATTTGCAAATTTCAGTTGTTAGGGTTTCCTCAGTAATATTTGTTAGTCACACAGGAGATTATAAATGCTAACGAGATACTTAGGTTCATCCCTGAGATGATGTACAATGGACCAATTAAGTGTTCCAAGACTGGTGTGCAGTCATTGTATTCTTCTTCTGTGAATCCCCAGATCTAACATAGGACCTTGCACCAAGTCAGCCTAGGATAAATGGTGAGTAGATGAATGGTTGGATAGGGAGACTTGATAGGGTTAAATTTCTTCTTTTGTGTAGTAACCAGGAAACAGGTATTCATGGTGTGAAGGAAGTAAATTTGCAATCATTTATTTTGTTTTTAAATAGGCAAATCAAGTTTTCAAATAAAGCATAATGCAGAGTCATCAGGGAAGTAATGCCTTAAAAAATGTCCAGTTAGGTCTGGAATTTTACTTTTTAAATGATAACAGGTACTCTTTATTGCTAATGTAACCATATCATACTCGTTCAGTCAGTATTTACCAAGCAATTGCTCTATGCCAGAAACTGTTTACCCACAGTAAATACAGCAGTGAACAAAACAAAGTCCATGTCTTCCTGGCACTTAAATGCTTGTTGGAGGAGACAAGCAAGTAAAATATATTGTGTGTCAGAAGATGATAAATGCCCTGTAAAAAATTAAGCAGAAGAATGGCATAGACAGGGCTTGGGTGTTGGGGGTGGAGCATTTGCTATTTTGGAATAGCCAAGGAAGGCATTCATTAGAAGGTTTCATTTATGCACCCAAGGGTAAGTGCATGATTTCAGAGAGTAAGGGTGATGGATGGTTTTGTCTGCTACATGAGATTCAAAATTGGGATTATTAGGGAGGGAAAGGGGAGAATAGTCTAGAAGCAACAATGAGAAACAAGGAAAACATCTACTCAACTTCTGGCCCAATGGTATGAGAGGAGTTACAAGAATTATTCCCATAATAACCTTTGTTATTTTATACTGTCCTCATTCATTCTACTGCAGACATACTGGCCCTGTTGTTCTTGTGCTATTGTATTCAGTAGAGATGGGGTTTTACCTTGTTGGCCAGGTTGGTCTCGAACTTGACCTCAGGTGATCCACCTGCCTCAGCCTCACAAAGTGCTGGGATTACAGGCGTGAGCCACCGCGCCCAGCCACATCTATCTTTCTTTACTGATCTTTCAGCTTCTACCCTTGCCCCTATACAGTCCATTCTCAACACAATAGCCAGATTGATTCTGATGAAACCTACATCAGGTCGTGTCACCCCACGATCAAAAGCCTGCATGATAGAGTCCGGTGTGACCATTCAGACTTTATCTTCTGTGCCTGCTTCCTCAGTTACCCTGCCTCAGCCACCCTGGCTTCCCCGCAGCTCCTTGAGCATGCCAGGCACATGCTGTCTCATGGCCTTCACTCTTGCTTGCTCTTTTATCCCCCAAGATCTACATAGCTTGCTCCTTCATCCCCAACTCTGTGCTCAGATGCTGCCGCAGTGAGACAGTCCCTCATCACTTATTTAAGATTGCAACCCTACCCCCTCAGAAACTCCTGCTCTACTTACTCCTGTGCTTTTCTCTCACAGTATTCTACCCCATCTAAATAATCTACTGACTTCACTTGGTCACTATCCATCTCCACCACCAGAACTAGAATATATGCTCCATGAGGGTAAAGTAGGGAAGAGAGGACCTAGCACTCCGAAAGTATGGGTTGAATTATCATTATCCATTCAGAAGTGTTATGGTGACTACTGGATTTTATAAATGTACAACTGTAAAATGTTCAAATTCTTCAGCATTTTTAAGAAATCTATTTGGGCCAGGATTTTGGATATCTCTTATGCCTATCATCTCTATAAGTTTCACCATTTCCTGAAACTGATTTTATTAAAAGATAAGGTATTTCTGTTCACAAAATACATACTTAGTAAAGTGAAAACTACAGTTGTTTTTCTGATTTTTTAGCTGGCAGCCTCAGGAAACAAATGAAAGTCTTAAGAATTACCAAGATGCCTTGCTTCAGAGTGATCTCACATTGTGCCCGGTCGGGGTAAACACAGAATGCTATCGAATCTATGAGGCTTGCTCCTATGGCTCCATTCCTGTGGTGGAAGACATGATGACAGCTGGCAGCTGTGGGAATACATCTGTGCACCACAGTGCTCCTCTGCAGTTACTCAAGTCCATGGGCGCTCCCTTTATCTTTATCAAGAACTGGAAGGAACTCCCTGCTGTTTTAGAAAAAGAGAAAACAATAATTTTACAAGAAAAAATTGAAAGAAGAAAAATGTTACTTCAGTGGTATCAGCACTTCAAGGCAGAGCTTAAAATGAAATTTACTAATATTTTAGAAAGTTCATTTTTAATGAAAAATAAAAGTTAACTTAATTATCTTTTTGAGCTAAGATGTGATTTTTAAAATCATTTTGACTACTGAGTGTATACGTGTGTTTTTGTGTGTGTATAGATGTTCTTTAAGGTAGCCTTGAAAACTCTAGATGATGTATGCCACGCTGACCAAGTGCTCCCTTATTAGGCCACTCCTGTGTACAAGCTAAAAATGTAGTTAAACTGTTACTGAGATTCACTTCTACAGAGTTGAATGAGTCAACATTTACCAACTATTCTCACCGATGCATACCCACTCTATAAAATGGGGGCTTCAGGGCTGGGGTTATTGAAACAGTTGCAGAGATGGGGATATGTCCGTCAAAGGATACAAAATTTCAGTTACACAGGAGGAATAAGTTCACGAAATCTGTTATACAACAGCATGACTATAGTTAATGACAATATATTGCATTTTTGAAAAATGCTGAGATTGGATGTTAAGTGTTCTCACCACAGAACTGAGGTAATGCATATGTTAATTAGCTATAGTCAATCAACTATATACTTCAAAACATCATATTGTACATGGTAAATCATACTATTTTATCTGTCAATTTATAAATAACTATCAGAATACAAATAACCCACTCTAGGACACAGCATTATGTAGTTGAAAGGCCATGTTTTGGAGTCAGACAAAATCTGTGTTAAAACATTGCCTCTGTACCTTCTAACCAAGGACCTTGAGCAAGCCACCTAAGCATTCTGAGTCTTACTTCCTTTTGTTATAAAATGAAGATAATTTATCTTCACAGGTTTGGTTGTAAATATGAAATGAAATATAAAGTACCTCGTGTGTGTGTATATTACACACTAGGCACATACACTAGGTCCTTTGTGTATACACACACATGTAACTAAAATAGTGATTTTTAATCCATTTTAGGGTTAGGGATCTGAGGTTACAGTGAGCTATGGCCATGTCACTAAGAGGCACTCCAGTCTCGGGGACAGAGCAGGACCCTGTCTTTTAAAAAAAAAAAAAAAAGGTGTGTCCCATCATCAGAAGGTCTGGAAGCCTGGATGCAAAGGACCTTAACTTTGTTGGAGAGTCAGAGAGCCTACTGCAACCCTATCCAATTCTAAGGGAAGTTGCCCCATCTACAGCCCCTGCTAATGGCAATGCACACAGATGACTCTCCGCTTCTGTCCCCACCTTACGTCACAGCTGTGGGCACTGACTCAGGGCATCCTGTTGATAGGCTTCCTAGTGATCCCAGACATTGAAACAAAAAAGAAATGAGGCAAACAAGTTCAAGGCATTTTGAACTAGGAAATACTGAGGACCTGGGAATCAACTATAAGAGCAAAACAGGATGCAATGGAGTAGGAGCTATGAACTAGCATCAGGGCTATGAAAGAAGTAAAGATAACAATAAGGTCAAGGAGAGAGGCAATCCTGTGCCCAGAGTTGCCCCAATGGGTTTACTACCCCAGCCGCCATGAGTTTTGAGACTGCATTTTTATTACCCCCATGCAAGTCATCAGAATTGTTTTCTATCCCTCCTTGCCTTGGTTACTTGAGCTGACTTTCCAAACCAAAAGAGTCCAACACAGTGACCATATGTTCCATCTTCCAGAGTCTCCATTCTGCCTTCCCCTTGAACAGGGATGTGTGCCAGGTCTAAGGCTTTAATACAGTTCTTTGACTAGAAGGAGTCCCTGTACTGTATTTCACCAACAAACTGTACCATCTTTCTCTATATGAGACTTACTGTTGCCTATAATCTTTTCAAGAATGCTTTCTGCATTGATGTATTGGTTGCCAGCAAAGTCTTTGCAATGTCAAGACCATGGGGCAAGAGAAAGTGAATTATATCAAAAGAAATTTCCCAATATTCTCTAACATCTTTTCTTACTATATAGAGATTCTGGGTAACTAAGAGGCCAACTCTAGGCCATCCGTTGGTTCTAAAACTAGTGAGAAATCTGCCTGCATAGTTTTGGTGGTTTTATCACAAAATCGGAGTCCGTAAAGTTTGAAGCACTAAAACTCATCAAGATCTGGGTTCAAATCTAATGGCTATTTAGAATATATATCTCATCTCTTCCTGGCCTTTTGGCTAAGATCAAGTGTCTTGCTCTGTCACCCAGGCTGGAGTGCTCTGGACTCACTGCAACCTCTGCCTCCTGGGTTCAAGCAATTCTTGTGCCTCAGCCTCCCAAGTAGCTGAGATTACAGGCATGTGCCACCATGCCCGGCTAATTTTTTAATATTTTATAATACGCACTATGTACCAGGAATTTAGCTAAATGTTAGGAATTTTTTTAAAAAGAAAAAAACCTAGTCCTGTCCTCAAGGACTCACAGCCTGATGGGGAAGATTGTTATGTCAGTATTACAGAATGTTCATTCTAAGAATTTGTGTAGACATTTATGAAGAGCTGTGGGAACTCAGAGAAATGGCTGTTCAGGGGTATAGATTTCAGACTTGTCCTGAGTGGAATTTAAAGGATGAATAAATTGGTTGCATCTTTCAGTACCAGCAAAGAGATATTGGAGCAGCATTTATTTTTCTCTTCTCTGAAATCAACTGGCACCGGGCACAGTAGCTCATGCCTATAATCCCAGCACTTGGGAAGGCCAAGGCAGAAGGATTGCTCAAGGCCTGCACAACACAGTGAGGCCCCGTCTCTACAAAAAGAAAACAATTTTTTAAATTAGCCAGGTGTGGTGGCATGTGCCTGTAGTCCTGGCTGCTCAAGAGGCTGAGGCAGGAGGATTGCTGGAACTCGAAAGTTTGAGGCTGCAGTGAGCTATGACTGTGCCACTGCACTCCAGCCTAGATGACAGAGCAAGACTCTGTTTATTAAAAATTAATTAACTAATTAATTAGGACTGAGAACTTCCAGGCACAGGTACATTGGTTTGGGAGACTGAGGCTCCTGGAGATGAGACTAGGATATTCAAGTTAACTGCCTCTAGGTCTGTAGAACCATTGATCTGTGCAGGCGGCACAGAATTGTAGTCATCTCCATCCATGAGGATGAATTTATCACAGAGGGGATCACCAAAAACTGATTCATTGTGGTAGCACCACATGTGTACACATGTATGTGCCACATAATGACATTTCAGTCAATGGTGGACTACATATATGATAGTGGTCCTGTAAGATTATAATGGAGCTGGAAAATTTCTGTCGCGTAGTGATGTCATAGCCTAGTGATGACATATGTAGTGTAATACATCACTCACGTGTTTGTGGTGATGCTGGTGTAAACAAATCTATTGCACTGCCAGTCAAGTAAAAGTACGGCAATTATGTCCGGTACATAATACTTAATAATGACAATAAATGACTATGTTACTGCTTTATGTATTTACTATACTATATTTTTTACAATTTGTATTAGTTCTTGCATTGCTATAAATAAATGCCTGAGATTGAGTAATTTATAAAGAAAAGAGATTTAATTGGCTTACATTTTCACAGGCTATACAGGAAGCATGACAACTTCAGGAAATTTACAATCCTGGCAGAAAGCGAAGGGGAAGCAGACACGTCTTCACATGGCCAGAGCAGAAGTTTGAAAAGGGGGTAGGTGCTACACACTTTTAAATAACCAGGTCTCACGAGCACTCACTCATTACCAGGAAAGCCGCACCATAGGGGAAATTCACCTCCATGACCCACTCTCCTCCCCGCAGGCCCTGCCTCCAACACTGGGGATTACAATTCAACTTGAGGTTTGGGTGAGGCACAGATCCAAACCATATCATCATTATTTTCGAGTGTACTGCTTTTACTTATTAAAAAAAAAAAAAAAAGTTAAACAGAACAGCCTCAGTCAGATCCTTCAGGAGGTATCCAGAAGAAGAAAGCATTGCTATCACAGGAGATGGCAGCTCCATGCCTATTATTGCCCCTGAAGGCCTTGTAGTGGGGTGAGATATAGAGGTGGAAGACAGTGATGTTAATGATTCTTACTCAGTCTAGGCCTAGGCTAATGCGGGTGTTTGTGTCTTCATTCTTAACAAAAAGTAAGACAATAAAAAGTAACAAATTTTTTAAATTTTTAAATAGACTAAAGTTTATAAAATAAGGATATAAAAAAGAAAAATATTTTTGTGCAGCAGTACAATATGTGTTTTCAACAGTGTTATTACAAAATCAAAAGGTTTAAAAAGTGTATAAAGTAAAACTTTACAGTAAGCCAGTAAGCTAACATTAATTTATTCATCAAGAAAGAAAAATATTTTATCTTTTTCTTTTTTTTTTTTTTTTTGAGACGAAGTTGTTCTTATTGCCCAAGCTGGAGTGCAGTGCCATCATCTCGGCTCACCACAGCCTCCGCCTCCCAGGTTCAAGCGATTCTCTTGCTTCAGCCTCCCAAGTAGCTGGGATAGCAGGCACCCGCCACCACACCCAGCTAATTTTTTATGTTTTTTAAAGATGGGGTTTCATCATGTTGGCCAGGCTGGTCTTGAACTCCCAACCTCAGGTGATCCACCTGCTCGGCCTCCCAAAGTGGTGAGATTACAGGCGTGAGCCACCACACCTAGCCAGAACAATATTTTTTTTATAAATTTAGCGTAGGCTAAATACACAGTGTTTATAAAGTCTACCGTAGTTTACAGTAATGTCCTAGATCTTCACATTCACTCACCACTCACTCACTCACTCACTCAGAGCACCTTCCAGGCCTGCAAGCTCCATTCATAAGAGCTCTACACACATGTGCCATTTTAATATTTTATATCATATTTTTACTGTGCCTTTTCTATGTTTAGCTACACAAATACTTACATTTGTGTTACAACTGCCTATGGTATTCAGTACAGTGACATGCTGTATATATAGGTTTGCCTCCTAGGAGCCACAGCCTACACCAGGTAGCCTAGGTATGTAGTAGGCTGTACTATTCAGGTTTGCGTAAGTACACTCTATGATGTTTGCATGACAAAATCATGTAAGGATGTGTTTCTTAGAACATATCCCTATCATTAAGCCACGCATGACTGTAGTTCTTTAGCATCTTCAGAAAGAATTAGAGTCCCGCTTGCTGTAAGTTGTTTGGCATAAGACTTGGCATCTT